TCTTTTTTGTGTTTGTTACTCTTTTGTAACACCTCTAATCTTCTGGTGCTCATATGATCTTATTGTGTTGCAAGTGCCGTAAAACACTTACTAAAACTAAAATCCAACTGCCATTTGGGTTCCAGTCCTTCGGCCTGATGCTACAGTAACAAATCAACAATGTTTGGCCAAATTTCCACATTCCATTCTTCAGACAATTTTAGAAATCTGCTTCTAGTGCATATTGGTGCATTTTGTTTTCAAATCTTATATATGAGATTGTGTCTTGAGAAAAACTTCTTTCTGCGTGTCTTAACATGCCTCCTGATATCTCCCCCCACCCCCACTCCCGATGCATATAGCTATATTAGTTACTAGTCAGGTAGAAGCATTGAGAAATAGAGGCATATAGCTATATTAGTTACTAGTCAGGTAGAAGCATTGAGAAATAGAGGCAAGAGGATTTCGTTGATGGACATTTTTGCAGCTCTTGCTTCTCTGTCTGGGAAGTGAATCAAAAGAGAACCCTGTTATTCTGTGGGTGATAAATTGATCTGTAAATTTACTTGTTATCTTTTCAGACCAAAAACTGTTATTCTATGGGTGATAACTGAACTGTAAATGTACTTGTTATCTTTTCAGATCAAATACTGTTGTTCTATGGGTGATAAATGAACTCTAAATGTACTTGTTATCTTTTCAGACCAAAAACTGTTATTCTATGGGTGATAACTGAACTGTAAATTTACTTTTTATCTTATCAGATCAAATACTGTTGTTCTATGGGTGATAACTGAACTGTAAATGTACTTGTTATCTTTTCAGAACAAAAACTGTTATTCTATGGGTGACAATTGAACTGTAAATTTACTTGTTATCTTTTCAGACCAAAAACTGTTATTCTATGGGTGATAACTGAACTCTAAGTTTACTTGTTCTCTTTCCAGACCAAAATGTTTGGAGCCTACATGGATGAACTTGCCAAGCTCTCTGCCTAACTACAAGATGACGCACTGGAATATCGTGGCTCAAGAACTTCCTGTTGGGACAATTGAAATGTCTGTCTAGTTTAGACTCTTTTTTCTTCTTTGTCCCTGCCCCTGCCCATTCCCATCAAACGACACTTTTGTGTCGAGAAGGCAAAAGAGAATGAGCAACATTTTTTTAAAATAATGTTGTAATGAGAGAGAATTAATGATAGAAAACGAAGTTTAGATCTGAGACTTTTGTCTCAAGTGAGTCTGCTTCTCCCTGAATCTCAAGACTAGGTTCATAGTCTGAAAGTCATATATAGGCCACTGGTACCGTACCACTTGAACACTGTGGTACGGTATATGAAAAGGACCTGCTTCTTATATTAGTTAGAAATACGGAAATGTGACATAGAAATGCCTTGTTCGACTGTCTAAACAGCTGTCATGCTCCATTTTGCAAGGTCATTGCTTTCAGACTGGAGCTACACTGAAGAGTTTGTTATTGTTTTTTACAAGTAGCTTGGAAAGGTTTCTTTCTTGTAACATATCTAATCTTCGGCACTTATATGACCGTATTGTGTTGCAAGTGCCGTAAAACTCGTACTACAACTAAACAGATATTTTGTATGTGTGCAATGATTTTTTGGTTCTCTGTTTCCAATGTTTTGTTCTCAGACTGGATCTCCTGAAGGGTTTTTTACTGACCTCTTTGCAAACGTGTAAATTGCAACATATCCTCATCACATTTGTGAACTTTTTCTTTTAACACCTCCTCACTACAGATATTATGTGGTTTTCATGGAGTGAATTTTAAAAAACTGGCCCGAAAGCAAACTTTTTAGATATAAATCTATTGAGCTTTGTCTCTTAATTCTTATAGAAATGCAAGTCTCTCCGTCAGGCAAGTATTTGAATTAAAAATTTGCAAGATTTGTTCAAAGTGAGCAGGAAATTGTTACAACTTCTGTCCTGGAGTATTGACCTTGAGCAGAACCTCTCAAGTAGCGACGTAGCTGTGAGTGGGGACTTGTAGATTGCTTAAGAAACTAACTTGGCAAGGGAAAACCTGTCCCTGTCGCTTTATGCAAGAAAAATTCTGACATTATGCAAACTGAGCCCAAAAATGTGAGATTATGCGATTGTGTTGATTTTAACCAAGAACAATAAAGGAAAATAATCAGAAATTATGAAAGAAATGATCAAATTTTGCTAAATTATGCGGGGTGCATAAAACCACGGGGACTGGAAAACTTCTTTAAGCACTCTCATCAAATGCCCCACTTTTGGCTAATTACCTAATGGCCTTGTAATGGAGAAGACAAATTGTCAGGAAGTCTTGAGGTCTCTTTTCCAACTTTTATTTCCTTGCTTTTTCTGTATGATCTGAAATGTTTTAGTTTGTGTTTCTATGCCCATAAGAAATGTTCCAGAAGCTTCTCAAAGGGACTTCTTTTTCTTTTGCAATCTCCCATTGTGTTGTTTACGTAACGGTTGATTTTTTCCTCCAACTTTTATGTACCACGTTTTTAGAAATTTAGTTTTTATTTTACCTCATGCTAAAAATAGTTTTTAAAATTTTAAATATTGCTTTATTCAGGTGTTTCATTTGATATTGCTGTTAAGATGTTTATTACTTTTCTCGGTGTATACTGGGTGCTGGAGTTGATTTTTATATATAATACAGTATAACATAAATAGCTTGAATTCATTTGGACCGGCCTCGGTAGTTCGAGGGATATCTTACCAAGATAGAGAAGAAGACAAACCCAGGACTTCAGGCACAGTTCGACGGATGCGTGATTTCGAGTCTTCTGTGTTTGACTTGTCCATGTTATGTTATCCCACATTTTTATGATTCCAGCTAGGAATATTGAATTGTAGTTGTAGTTGATTGTATTTTGGGTATTTTTGAGAAGATTCGCTGTTTGTTGGTCGATGCTATATTATTATGATCTCAAAGGGGTGGCCGAGAGAGTATTTGAACACTGTGGTGGTGTGTATGAAAAAGACCTGCATCTTCTTATCTATGCTGTTCTGGCGGAAGGGCTAGAGCCCAAATGGCCGCTGGGTCGGAAAATCCGAAAAGTATCTATGCTGTTCTTTCAACAGAGCAAAAGACTGCTTTTCAAATTGTGTTCGAGGGTGGGTGTGTATGTGCGTGCATGTGTGTGTGGTGTGTATGTGTGTGTGCATGTTGTGTATCTGTGGGGTGTGTGTGCGTGTTTGTGTGTGTGTGAGCATGTGTGTGTGGTGTGTATGTGTGTGTGAGCATGTGTGTGTGTGGTGTGTGAGCATGTGTGTGCATGTTTGTGTATCTGTGGTGTGTGTGTGCGTGTTTGTGCGTAATCCCTCTTGTTTTACCACTTTACTTGACTGAGTGCCACCCTTCTGAGTGTACAGCATGATCTATGTGCTTTACACGACACTGTGACTACCACGAGGAGACCGCTGAACATCTTCTCCTTCACTGCCCAAACCTGGCAGTTCTTCGACGCAGGCTCCTACACACACCTACAGACTTACAAAGCCTGCTCTACTCTGGCGTTGACCAGATGACAAGGACATGTGGTTACTTGAGGGAGGCATTGCGCTGCCAAGAGCGAAATGCTCGCAGCTAAAGTGATTTGAAAACAACAAAACAACATGTGCTTTACACTATATTATTATTATTACCCCAGCAAACCCTTTATCAAACAGAAACATTCTCGGCTTCCCAGGAAGCATACAGTGATAGCAGCTCATTAAGTACTCAAACATTAACAAGCCGCCATGCAGTATGTTAAGAATTTATATTAAGTTAAAGATGAATTAAAGTTCTTATCTCAATCTGATGCATCTTCGACTCCTCAGATTTTTTCTCAGCCAAGTGTCGAATGGTTGCTCCATGCTTCTCCAGAGAAACAGATTGATATCCTTTGTGCTGTTTCCAGTAGATCTACTACATTCTGCTAAAACAAAGAGCAAGTGAACGGTTCACCTGTTTAAAACCGCCCTTCTTTTATAGAATGATTAACCTGTAAGTACCCCCCAGGGCGATGCCACTGACTGAAGTGCCTATAGGCCATTCCCAAAGGGGGGACATTAACCTGTTCTTATGCACAGTAGAATTGTAAATGGGCTGATTCATCAACGTCATGCTCATAACTGTGCCGGAACTGCAACAGGAAACTGCTGCTTTTTCTTTCCTTACTATCGTCATTTTCCCTTTTGTATGTTCGTCACTCTCTTGTGACCCGCTATTTCCGGGCTGCCTTGATAGTCAAAGCAGACCTTGTGCTGTTGAAGCTAGAGAGGTGAGCAGAGTAACTCAGTAAGCCTGATTCCCTGTAAGGACTTCTCTGTTGACACCCACCCCTTGGCGCTCATATGACCTTATACAGTTGCGAGCGCCGTAAAACTTCTACTAAAACAAACAAAACCTGTAAGCGACCAGGGTGGACTCGCAAAGAATTTGCTTTATAATAGTATAGCTTTTTAAGAAATATCTTACACTCTTCTCATGAAAAGATGGTATGTGTAAGTGCAAGATCTAGAATTGTTCATATTTATATGTCTAATGATATTAATATTATTTCATTTCTGAATTATCTTCCTTTGAACAGCCAGAGAACAGGTAACTTTCCCACCGATATTCCTGAGAAAACATACATGTTCATGTATTTGGTCTGTACAGGCTCATGTGAGAAACTATGTCTTTTTAGTTCGGCAGCATTGGTTATCTTGTGATTGCAAAAAAACAAAACATTTTTAGTATGATATGATATAATATGTTTGTTTGTTAACTTGCCATAGTCATTTAAGACTTACGCCTTTACAAATAAATTACGTGAACAATAAACATCCATCTCCCATAGCTCTGATCAAGTCTTCTTTTTTTTTCTTCTTGTGGTACTTTTCTAATCTATACTATATTGTATGTCATTGCATATTTTTCAAATATTTAAACACAAATTATGTGTCAAACTAATACCTTGAAGTCTGATAAAAACGAACATACATAGATTTTTTTCAATCACTTTGTCATGGTGATTTCTAGCCAAAGCCAGCTCAGTGTCTCCCTTCAGATCTTGACTTCCTTGATAAATGCTCCAAGCCAAAGGAGAAACATCGTCAGTACTTTTGGAATCAAGGAAACTACAAGGATGTGTCTTGCTATTTTGCACAGAACATCTTCGTCTGATAGATCATCTTTGTCTCATGAAAAATTGTTACCGGTGTCTGTGGTGTAGTGCTTAGGCACTCCACTGTTGCACACAGGAGACTCAAGTTCGATTCTCAAGGGAGGAGTTGTTGGCAGGTGCTCTGGTGTAGTTTGCTCCTTCTTTCCTATTCAAACATCTAAATCTAACGTTTTTATCTTCCCTCCTTCTTCTTTTTGTTTGTTACTCTCTTATAACACCTCTAATCTTCGGCACTTATATGACCATATTGTGTTGCAAGTGCCGTAAAAAAAACACTTACCAAAACTAAAAAAGACAGTTGACTGGAATGTCTTTTAAATGTACGCTGGGGCGACCTCCACCAACCCATGACGTCACAGGTGGCGAATAGTGGACGGCCTCCAGACTCCAGACATCTTGGGGGG